GTTGTTAGAGACACTCAGAGATTTAAAGGATTCGGAGACGCTTAGAAACAGAGTCCAAAAGACGAATTGCTTCATAATATTAAATACTTCATGAAACAGCTGGAATTCGACAGGAGAATGTATTCACCGCAAAGCCATTGTGCCCACCAATCAAGCACCCTACTCGCACGATCAAAGAGCATATCCAAAGAGATCCACGGATAACAACAGATCAGGAAGAACGACAGGAAATGGACAAGATTGGATAAGATTGGACAAACATGAGGGCATATATCAAAGATTTCAGAATGGCACTACTTCAGAAACACCACTCAGATGCCCACAACAGAGGACAGTCTTCCATTGAGGCAAGGGAAATCGAGGTGTGACTGCGTATGAGACCAATCCTGGGAGAAGGGGACTACCATGGCTACACCGGACCCGGACCCGGACATTTCCGGACATGGAACCGGACCCGTGTCCGGTAGTTTCCGGACATTTCCGGACCTCCGAACATGGGGGGATCCGGCCGGTCCGGAAGTCTGGACTGGTCCGGAAATCTCCGGACCATTAAAAAAAAAATCTGAAAAAAAAGTATGTTATGCAGAATAACAATGCAAACCACTTTTGCCTCAGAGTCATGTCAGAATTTCTAACCAAACTTGAGTTAAAAGTCAAAAACTATAAGAAGCTTAAAAAAAGACTTTAAAAACTAATAAAAGGTAATGAATTATTAATAATTAAAAAATTGGGGTTGTCTAATAAATTACGATAGAGAGAGAGCATGTCCAGACCCCCCAAAAAAGCATAAACGGGCCTGAAAAACCCCAAACAATTTTGGGGGCTTGGCTCCTCAATGGGGAAGGGTCCTGGACTCCTGGACCGTTTTTTTTTTTTTTTTTTTTCCTCAAAATTTGCCAGATCCGGACCTTCCAGACCGGACGTCTGAATTCCGGACTGAATCCAGAACGGCCGGACGGCGGTCCGGACGTCCGGATCGTAGCCATGGGGACTACCTTCTTCACCTGAATAGGATGCCCGGTGATTTTAGCTGTATTCGGGACAACTTACAGTCCAGATACGGCAATAATGATCAGGTGTTCTATTCCGGTGAACATGGTAGGCCGTAAGAGTCATAGAAAAAGAGGTGAAACAACACTCCCAGAGAACAAGGGCAGAGGGGACAGGGTAGGAGTGCATGCAGAGGAGAGGAAGACTGGAAATATGATAATAGCCCTCCCATGGCCCCAATTAAAGAAGGGCAAGTTGCAGGATCAGGAACAGCTGAGTGGAAGGGTGTCTAAGTTATCAAGTTCTCGGAAATAAGGAAACCAGGAACAGATGCTAAGAGCTAAGACTCTACGGTCTTAAAACCACAAGAAAAAAGGGCAGTTAGAAAAAAAGACTTCAAAAAATTGAAACCCGCAGGACATGATGTTTCGTGTCTGATTGGTCACTCAGATCGTCCTCATCTGTGACGCTCTCCAACTGTACACATATACGGGCGCTGCAATGCTCTCTATTGAGTAAGCTTGGGGTCATGTTGCCCACTATCGTGGTAGCAAATCAATATCCTTTTTGTCAGGGTTGTTTTGGCGCCTACCGCATACGCCTACCAGTCGGGCCGACCCGTAGGCGGTCGGCACACTGCCTAAATTTTTTTATTTTTATGTTTTTTGAACTTTTTTCTGATGACACATATACGGGCGCTGCAATGCTCTCTATTGAGTAAGCTTGGGGTCATGTTGCACACTATCGTGGTAGCAAATCAATATCCTTTTTGTCAGGGTTGTTTTGGCGCCTACCGCATACGCCTGTCTCTTATACACATCTAGATGTGTATAAGAGACAGGTTTTGGCGCCTACCGCATACGCCTACCAGTCGGGCCGACCCGTAGGCGGTCGGCACACTGCCTAAATTTTTTTATTTTTATGTTTTTTGAACTTTTTTCTGATGACATGGTCGTGTGCGGCTTGAGGAGAGCAGCCCAAATCCGCAATAAATTTTTTGGGGGGTGGTAGGGGTTATAGGGGGAGGTATAGGGGGGTTACGGGGGGTTGTAGGGGCAAAAGGGGGGGATACGAGGGTGTTAGGGGGAGGGATAGGGGGGTTACGGAGGGTTAAGAGTGTTAGGGGCGGTATGGGGGTGTTGAGGGGGGCTATGGGGGTTTGGATGGGGTTATTTGGGGTTCTGGACATCCCCCCCCAAAAAAAACAAAAAAAAAAATCTTTTTTTTTCTTTTTGCAGGGTGCCTACCGTCGGCTGGTCGGCAGCTGACAGCTGATGGGTCCAGGGCTGCCGACCGTCTACGTGACTACCCTGCTTTTTGTGTCAAAAACAAAAAACAAAGGACAAATAATTGACATAAAATTAATAAATTGAAATAAATTGAAATAAACACCAGCCCTGATCTACTGGTGTCTATCTACTGGTGTCTATCTATGAACACCAGAAGGTTAACTGGGAAGTGTGTGTGCACACTTGAAGGGCAGATTGAACCTAGCAACGGCAGATGTGCAGGAAAGGCTAGGGGAGGAGGACATGTCAAAGAAAAGAAGAGGGGGAGGAAGGCAGAGGAGAACGAGTCCATCCCATTGAACGAAACAGAATGGGGAGTAAGTCCAGAACATCAATCTTGAAAGAGCTCTAGAGGGCCAAGCCTGCATATGCTGTAATGATGATGATGATGATAATGATGACGACGATGATGATGATGATGATGATGATGATGATGATGATGAAGATGATGAGGATGATGAAGATGATGAGGATGAGGATGAGGAAGACCGTAGAACTTCCAGAGGTAGAGGAAGAGAACTGGGGGAAAGTGGGAGATGGGGGGGGGAGAGGGTGAGAACTGGGGGAAAGTGGGAGATGGGGGGGGCAGAGGGTGGGCGGGTGCAAAGTTACAAGCATGAGCTCCTTCAGTGCTTTTGGGTCACATGGCTAGGGGACTGGCAAGCCAAAAACAACAAAGGTGTGGAGGAGGACGGAACAAAACGTTCTGGAAAGGGGGCAGGATGCCCATGCTTCATTTCGCAGGCAGCTTAAAATGTGTCATGGCCTCTCACGCCGACCAATAAACCTTGAAGCTTGAAGAACCACTTCCTTCACTGGCAAGGGCACTCCGAAGTGGCTTCCAAATCTGCGATTCTTTTGCCCGCTTTAGCAAAGCCCCGTCATTGACGGTGTTGGTTGCCCAACTTGGGAACCATGCCACTAGATCAGGCACTCGTAACTGAAATAAAACATCAGGAAAAAAGAAGAAGCTCACAAGGCCACACATCAACTTGAACCCAAGAAAAAGAAGAAAGAAAAGAAACAAGAAAAGAAAAGAGAGATTAAAGAGATGAGGGGGTGGAAGATAGACTTTGGGGATCCTTGATCTCTCCTCTCACGGTTGTCAGGTACCGACTTGAAGCAGCACACAATGAAACAGGTGTGAGCAGTCCCGCCAAAGTTTTTTTGGGCTAAAATGCCTCTAAATGCATCTACTGGAAGGGGCATTTATTAGACCATACCTGTGCCAGGTGTCGCAGTTGCTAGCTGTGCAAGATGGGAGCGAGGAGGATGTCGACCTGCATGAGACTGCTGAAACAGTCCGGATTCTGCTTCTCCGCCGAACAGAGCATCGCTGGTTGGCCTATGAGGTGCGGTTGGTAGTTTCCAGAAGCGAGAACCAATGACACCAGGGCCTTCAGGATGCGATTCACGGTGTCCTGATCCTGGCCGACCATGTGTGAGTCCAGCACTAGAAGCACCAATGCTCCCCAGCCTAAGCAAAGGGCCATGGCCCCCACCGTGAGTCATCCCTAACTGATGATGATAGTGTCGAGTTCCAGCTCCGTGCGACAAGCCCACTCCACCTCCGTCGGCTTGAAGGTGTTGCTCCTGCATTCCCAGATTTGCCACCATGCCTGCATGAGATTGACCTGGGGGGGAATGCACGCTGGCAAGATGAGGCCGTGGAGGAAGCAGACCCCCACCAGACTGCATCATTTGCTGCAGCTGCAGATGCATTTGCACGTTCAAGGGCAGTATATTGTGTTGCTGCCGATGAAATGATCCTCCTAATCCACTACCATCCGAAAGCAGCGATTGCTGCAGTAATGGAGGTACAAAGGGTGGGACCTCGCTGGGGCCATGACCAGGGATCATCAGTGAGCCTCCTCCTGCGCCTCTGCCAAGACCTGCTCTTATCATCCCCACCTCATTTGAGGATCGTGCCTGATTGAACGGGCTACCCATTGTCCGCTCTTCTCGGCCAGGAGGATACTCTCCAGGGATTCCAGGCGATCTAGTTCCTCGAATTCGGAGCATCTCCCTTACAGCCGCCACCCGCTCTGCATCCACATCGTTGATGCCGTTTCCCGCTCCTCCAATTGCAGAGCCGGGGCCAGAAGGCTCCACCTCTTGATCTTCTGGAAAAAACAGATTTAATGTTGGATCGTCGAACTTCAATCCCATCATCTGATCAAGTTGAGTCAGATCTTCATACAAACTCCGGGGAGGAGGAGTGGCGGTAGTCCTCCTGCGGTCACCTTCCGTGTGCTGAAGAGGTGCTGACATGGATTGGCCACTTGCTATCTTATCCTGTGCAACGCGATCTTGCAGCTGATGGTGCGTTATTGATACAAGTGAAGATCCGGATGGCATTCCTGATCCTTGAAACTGGTGACAATTGTCATGTAGTAGTTCCTTCGTCAAATTTTCCATCATCTCAACAGCGCTTCCCGCGCCTGCATCTCGACCAACATCCTCCATGCGACTTGCGAGCTTCATTTTCTCTCCCTGCTCCTTCTGTGCTCCTGCACACTTGCCATCACCGTGGCAATCGGTTTCACCCTCCTCCTTACTTACCACTGCTTCGTCTGACTCGCCTGCCCGTGAGCTTCTCAACTGGCCAACTTTTTCTTCACTTGTTGTCGACTCTGAATCGCGAGGGGAAGCGAACTCCAGCTTCCGTTTTGAGACGTAGGCCTCATCGGGGCAAGTTTTGTTTCCGTCCAAGATGCCCGGTGATGTCGAATCTGAAACAGAGTGGGGCTCCGCGGCATCTGAGTTGGGTGCAGACAGCAAGCTCTGCTGACCTGATGACCCTGATACACCTGGTGTTGATGCAGCAGCCAGGTTCTTTCCCTCCCCTTCCTCCATAATCATGGCCGCATGGTGTTTGTTTGACATGAGGCTCAGCTCTTCCAGTGTCCCAGTTTGCTGGCATGCAATCGACACATTGAACGTCTCCAAATCTTTATCGCAATCCGCAATATCCATGTCAAGATCTTTCTTCCCTTCCATTGTGAAAAGATGGAAAGAAATCCCATCAACCTTCCAGCTGGAGCCTGGATCGTCCAGCGGCGCCTGAGCAAAGTTACTTACACCATGTAAAGAATCATTTTCAGCCAGCCACCTTGCAGCACAGCTGACATCTTCTGCTGAGTTTTCTTTGGTGTTCTCTTGACATGTTTTGCTGACCTGCAGACATGAATCAGGGCCCCAGCATGGTAAGGAACATTAAGAAGCAAGATTCACCTAACTAGTAACTTCACACTAAAAAAGAAATAAGAATGGCGAAAGCAAGGAGACCGTGAAGAAAAAACCTGAATGAAGTTGAATCACAAATATGCTGAGCTCTCATGTATCAGCATTGACTCAGCGACAAAGCAAGGAGCAGAATAGACACAGCGACAAAGCCCTACCTGTTGTGATTAATGGTTTGCGCGCGTTGTCTATTCTACTCGGAACGTGTGTGATCACAGCGACCCTGTCTCTCCCAGCTCTTGAACGACGGATGTGATCACATGCCCTAGCTGCTAGCCGATCACTAGCCTACTGTACTTATCACTGGAGTCCACTGCCACACAGCCCACTGCTGCTCGCACTAAGAACCTGTCAAAGAATATACAATGCTGGAGCTCACTTCACGACCTCCACGCATGTCCCTCACCATCCTTCCTCCACTCACGGTCCTTCTCCGTCTCCCAAGGACTCTCTCTCTCTCTCTCTCTCTCTCTCTCTCTTACACACACACACACACACACACACACACAAATAGACTCAATCATATTTTTCTATAACGTTTTCTTTTTTTTTCTCTCTCTTCTTCACTTCTGCTTCTTATTCTAAGTAAATGTTTTCGCCCTGTTGTCCTTTTTGTGCAATCTCTGGTCCTTTCACGCTCTTCTAATCTGTGCCCAAGTGCGCACCTCTAAGACGTGCCAAATGGTCAGCGTCTCTTTGTTTGGAGTGCCTGCAATACGAGCAGGGGGCTGCCGTTCGCTATGCATGTGTGCCCACGTTCCCTGGGTGATGACAGAGATTTGTCGAAACGACTACCTGACTCCAAGGGTGGTGTGAACCTACAATCTGTTGAGTTCTACTTGTGGTGAGAGTAGGTAACCATCTGCTTTGGTCCGTGTTCAATGTGTGGACTGCGTTGTCCATGCTGCCCATCCACATGGACTTGTCTTCCCGTGGTATTCGCCTGTTTGCCTTGAAGTTGGCTGCCTTGTCGGAGCTGCCTCGTGCCTTGCTGCCTTGTTGCCTTGTTACTCTGCCGCCTTGTTGCCTGCTGCTCATTGTGCCACCTTGCTGCTTGACTTGTCACTTGGCTGCCTTGTCATTTCGATGCCTCTTTGCCTCACTGCCTTGTGCCTAGCTGCCTTGTCGCCTCACTGCCTGTGTCTTTTTACCTCCTTATTGGGGAGCACTACTGCTTGCCTCTCTGTTTCTGTGCCTTGCTGCCTTGCTGCCTCACTACCTTGCTTTCTCGCTTCCTCGTTAGTTTACTGCCTTGTCGCCTTGTCACCTGCTGCCCATTGTGCCTTGCTGTTTGGCCGCTGTGCTGCGTCACTGGCTTCTTGCCTTGCTAATATGTGCCCTGCTACCTTGTTGCCTCGCTGCTTGGCTGTGTGCTGCTTATCCGGTCAGAATGCTGCTTGCATTGTCAATGCTACCTTGTTACCTGCTGTTCATGGTGCCACCCCGCCACTTGCCTTCTTGTTTGGCTGCCCGCTTGCCTCCTCTTATGTGCCTTCCTTTTCCTTGTCATCTGGCGCCTTGTTGACTCACACTTGCCTTGCTGCTTGTGATGTCCCCTGCTGGCCGCCCACTTACAACAGGGGTTAAATGAGATCATGACTCAATACGGATATTCTGCAAATTGTGAGGATTCAGCCTCGTGATGACTCGCCGCAACTCGGACAAAATAGTCTGTCGTGATCCTTGCTTTTCCCCGCTCTTGTCAGGTGGTCTGATTATGGTGCTGTCTTGGGCCCCGCGGGGCCTCTCTATGATGCTGTCTTGGGCCTGCTGTTAATGCACCAATTGCAGGTATGTTTTGTATGCCTGTGCTCGTTCCACTTTAAGAAGCATGCTGTGGCGCGTGTGCTCAGCCTTGGATACTCCAAACACACAGGGACTTTGAGAGCAGCAGCATGGTTGCCAACTTGTCAGGGATGTCATCATTGACAATTTGGCACACATTTCATATTGAGGGGGCCATAGCCAAGATGCAAGAACCATCTTTATGCATTAGTTGGATAACAGCTACGCTACCAGAATGAATGTCTGGCAGGTCGTGGCTCATCCATATTCTGATCTGCACATCCAGACCCGGATCCAAGGCCAAAAAGTACGGATTCAGAAGCTCCTGAGGAATGTGTGAGGAGAGCTCCACGCCTTGATCGGTGACCAGGCAATTGAGCAGTGGAGGGTCACGTGCTGGATGGGCTGTGGAAGCTCCTGAGGAATGTGTGAGGAAGCTTCGTGCCTTGCTTGGTTACCAGGCAATTGAGCAGTGGAGGGTCACGTGCTGGATGGGAGAGAAGTGCACGAGAACTGCTGTATCTGTGTGGTGTTGTGTGTGTGTGAGGGAATCGGACACTACAGCGTTGCAGGGGCAGGGTGAATATCACGACTGGTATGGTTCCACTTTTGCACACCGTGCCCTGGCTGTAGCAGTTAAGAGACTTGGCTCTTGTGACTAAGGGTGCTGGTTCAATTCCGTGCATGCATGGATAGATCAAAGGCCGGAAACCCTGGATACAAAAACTATGGGTACAATCCGGATGACACGGATGTCAGGGCACTGAAAATAACCTAAATATTTTCATTGTTTAGAGACAGTTCTGGGGTTCTCTGGGGCCCAGTAGGGATAAGCCTGGTCACACAGGTCCTGTGGAGGGTTAAGAATGACTAGGAAGGTCCCCTCTTTCCCTCCACATTTTCAGATATTATAATCAGCACACGGTGACACCATCACAACCCTCGCCTAAAGCCACAAGCTTCCCCCCCATCCATCCCCAAACACATGGTCTCTGGAAACAACCCACAATTCAGGAGGCACGGAAAACAACCCCGATATTTTTGTCATTTGGTCACTTTGGTGGCGTTTCTGGGGTTCTTTTGGGCCCAGTAGAGATAAGCTCGGTCACACAGGTCCTGTCGATGGGTAAGAATGAGTGGGAAGGTCCCATCTTTCCCTCCGCGTTTTGAGATATTATAATCAACACACTGTCATAACCCCCTCCTAAACCCCCAAGCTTCCCCCTTATCCCCAAATATGGTCTCCGAAAACAAGTCAGAATTCAGGATCCTGTGCATCAGGATCATTCCCAAGTCAAGCTGAGAAGACGCGTTCATAGAACAATATTGACTAGTTCAGACAGACAGCCTCATAGCCTAGGATTACCATGTCTTGCCTCCATTCTGTTGCTTCTGCACGAGGACTGCATCTCAACCCCTCCTGTGGCCTCCTTCGTAAGCTGGATGTCGGATAACAACCTTGGGTGTATGTGCCCTCCGGGCCCGTCCCTGATCCTGGCAAGGCAACGCATCTCGTATTTCTTCTGGATCGGCCCTAAGCATTGAAATGACTGAGTGTGAATGGGACTCGGGAAGAGAAGTGAAGGGATACTAGCACGCATATCTGTCACCTTGGGTGCATGCTCCACTTCCTTTTGTCATTGTTTGTGATGGGGCACACACTCTCATTGGCCTTGCACATCTCTGCTTTCAGACCTTTCCATCATCGATCATGCGTTTAGCCAAATACTTCTCCCAGCTCTCATTTCTTGTGCGCTGCCTCATTAATTGCATCACCACTTATCGTTCCATTTCATCAATGAGGCCATCTCTCCGTTGCTGCAATGTCATGGTCCTTTTTGGAGGACCTTATTCTTAGTAACTTGTTACATGAACTTACATCATCTTGGCCCTTTTTTTTTCTTCTAAAAAAAAAATCATTCTAATGCAATTGACTCCGAAATTCCAGAGACATGGGGTGTGGATTGACTTTATCACCAGTGCCTGTATCCGTATGCGCCATACTCTTTATGCTCAAGGATGACATACAAATTGAGAAAGAGAGAGAATAAATCACCCTGTCCTTCGGGACATCCGTTAAAATTGGAACGATACAGAGCAGATTAGCATGGCCCTTGCGCAAAAAAAAAAAAGAAAAAAAAGAAAAAAAACGAAGTTAAAAAAACTCTTCACACGAATACAATGGCCGGTCATCATACCGGTATTTGGGACACCATTCAGGCTAGATACAGCAGTAATAACCGGGCCTTCTATTCGGCTCAAGACGGTTGCTGCACACCACAGCCAAACCAATCATAGCCACATAAGCTATAGCAACGGACTCACAGTGGTCATAGCCACAGCAGCCATAACCACAGTAGCTATAGCCACATCAGCCATAGTCAGTGGCAATAGACACACTAGGCATAGCCACAGTAGCTATAGCCACATCAGTCATAGCAACAGTAGATAGCCACATCAGTCATAGCCCCAGCAGCTATAGCCACGGTAGTCATAGTCCATGGAAATCGCAAAACTAGCCACAGGCACACTAGTAACTCTGTGGTAAGATCAGAGGTGAACTTCACGACCCGGAAGAATATCACTCAGCAACCGCTGCTGCAGTGAACTCAGGGATTAGCTTGTGACAATCTTGAGTGGTCATTTGTGAACTATAGGCTCATATGATCCTCAGGAGTACTCAGAGATGCTCTCTCAACGAGTGTCATCCTTGCACAAGGCCCACACAAATCTTCTCTGTATCGTTCCAATTTTAGCAGATGTCTCGAAGGACGAGATTGTCTGTCAACTGATCCATGGTCCTCTGCGAATTCCCAGACGAGCTCAGAATGGGGAGCCCGTGAGGAGATTGTGCAATCAGAAATGAGTTGGCAAGAAGGGGGGCACTCACCTGGCCTGCGCTGCTGGTGGCTGACGTGGAAGCGGTGGACCCAAGAACACTACCAGAATTACCAGAATTACCAGAATTGGCAAGTGATCGCATGTTTCTGATGAGCCCTGGAAGCCTTGACCCTGATAATGGTGATGGGGATGGCGATGGCGATGGCGATGGTGAAGGTGACGGTGACGGTGACGGTGACAGTGGCATTGACAGTGACGGCGATCCAACTGGCTTGGTACCTGCATTGGAATGAGAAACAACAGAGTAGACTTGTCTCGTTAATTCAACAAAGAGGTCTGCTTTACTGGTCGGGGATCCGTGTTTACCGGATGTTGTTCCTCATCTTCTATTCAATCATTGTTGATGTCTGCTTTACTGAGCAAGCAGTGGTACTGTGGTACTGAGTAAACAGTGGAGTGTTTCATCTTGTGAATGTCTTTCCACTCATAATTTCAGTCACACACCGAGTTAGAAAAGGCTTATAAAAACCCGGCGCGACTTACAAAACAGGCTGGTCACCTTTTTTTGCAGGCCTGGGGCTGTGGTGTGCAGACTTCCATTTTTATGTTTTTTTTTTCCCCATTCGGAACTCACGCTGTGACAGAGCTGCCTGCATGAGGTTTTTTTTTTTTTTGCTTTTGAAACTCAAAACCTGATGCGGCCAGACTTGTTTCAAAACGAAAAAAAAAAGAAAAGAAAAGAAAAAAAAGACTGGACAAGCAATGGGAGAAAACCGTCACCTGCATGTGATGTCCCCAGATCTTCTCCCACCTTCCCATCCAGTTTGTCGAACGGAAGATCATCATACAGGGTGTCATCACCAACATAAGATGGATCCTGCGTATGACCGAAAAAAGGATCATCAAACCTCTTAGAAAAAGTGGAAGCAAAAACAAAAAAAGAGCCATTGAGTTTTTCAGAAGTGGAAGCAGAGCAAAATTCGAGGCTTCGAGCATTACATTTTTCTTAAACCGCCAGTACACAGCCCCAGCCTCGTAGGAATTCCTTCATCGCCTACTGTGAAAATTTCGTTCTTAATATATTGCTACGAGACTATCAAGAGTAAGCCTGGTAACATGACTCCTGGAAAGGCGCGAAGCGCTCTTGATGGACTTACAAAAGAATGGTTTACTCACTTAGCAACTCTTCTTCAACAAGGGCGCTTCGCGCCGGATAAAGCGACCGACATTGTAAGAGGCCGCTTTATCTTCAAAATAGTCCAAAAAGCTATGCAGGTCATACTGGAGATGATCTACGAAGAGAAATTTATTGATTGCAGTCATGCTTTTCAGCCTGGTAGAGGCTCCGCCGCAGCTCTGACTCTTGCGAGCCTCCATGTAGGAATCAAAAAACACCAAACGTGGGCTCGGGCCTACGGGACCACAATGGCTAGTGATGCCCGCCGAAGAAGAAAAAAAGGTGTGGTCTGGCAGTTCGCCAAGCTTGGTGAGCAGTGCAGCGCCACCAGGCCCGGCTGTACTGATGGTTTAAACCACCAGTACCCCAGGGGTTCTTAGGCCCCCTCTGGGGAGGCTCTGATGCAAATGCATATGGACCTGCGCGGCGCACCGATTCCGCCACCGCGTTAATGGCCTAAGAACGTGAAGCAAAAAAGGGACCATTGAACCAACCTATACGACGTATACGTATTGAATTTTGAAGTTCACAAAACAAAGGGCCAAAGGCCAGAACATATCCGCGCACTAGACACATCCACCGCTAACGAAGCAAGCCTAAAAGGAGCAACAAAATGATCATTGAGTTTTTCTCAGGCGGACAAGCTCTCTGTCGCATGGCCGTACCGATGTCTGTATGTTCTCATTCCATAATAGGTCAGACACAGAGCTGGTGGAGTTTGCGTTTTTTGGTGAGCAATGTGGTGACAGCGGCTTGGGGTGAGCTAACAGGTTATTTTTTTTGTGGAGGTGAGGCCTCATCACAGATTTTCCATTTTCAAGACTGGTGCAGTGAGCCTCTTTTTTCCCAAAGAGGCCTCTTTTCCACTGGCCCTCTTTTTAAACCACCATTACTTCCACTCTAATAGGTCAGAGGCTCAGAGCGAAGGTCATACAGATGGAAAAGGGCACAGACACCAGGCGAATGCCTTTTTCCCCCCAAGAAGGCCCCCATGAACTGTTGATAGACAAAAACAGCCCTAAGTTTGAACCATGACAGAATCAGATGAGCAAAATAACTCTGAATTGCCTCCGGCCTGTCAGTCCGATGATGATACCTCAAGAGTCAAGGCCATTGCCCTTACATAGATTGAAAAAAAGTAAAACAATCAACACAGTTACACAGATTCAACATCGAATAAAAAACACAGAAACAAAGAACCCAATTCTTTGTCGGTCAACTGCCTGCTACGGTAGTGTTGTGCAAGAACCAAAAACAAAGTTACCTTGTTTTGTCGAATTTTCCACCTTTTTAAGTTATTACCACTACATAGTTGTTGGACCACCACTGCCTCTCCCAGGCAAAAAATTCCAACGAATTTGTCCGCCACTGCACACTCTTCGGGGGCCTACGCATCCCGCGCACCTCGTTGGCTGGCGGGGGGTAGTCCAAAAGGGAGAAAACAGTGCTGTGCCGGACAATTGGTTCATTCTGAACGTGGCGTGCAGCATAAATCCGCCATGGGAAAAAGAGGCTTGGAAGTAATGGTGGTTTAAAAAGAGGGCCCGCGGAAAATAGGCCTCTTTGGGGAAAAAGAGGCTCACTGCACCAGTAGTTGAAAATGGAAAATATGTGATGAGGTCTAAACTCCACAAAAAAATAACCTGTTAGCTCACCCCAAGCCGCGGTCGCCATACTGCTCACCGAAAACGTAAACGCCACCAACTCTGCGCCGAGAACACTCCTGTTTCAGTGAGAGAAATGAAGTGGCCTCCATCCTTGAGGTCCACCTCACCACTTTTGACCGGGTTTGTGAAGGATGCCGTTGAGCTGTGGGGGAGCCGGTGGGAATATCCGAAAGGGTGGACTGGTGGGGGAAAACCGGGAGAGGCGGGTTCCTGAATCTTTCTGATATTCCCCTGTCCAAAAGCATGGTCCAAAACTTGCTCATCAGCGGCGTGAGAAATGGTGAGCACTGCCGTACAAGATGGCTCACAGACTGCTGAATCACTAACTTGGTGGCATGCTTAAATAACTCAACAAGTGTTGCAGGGCGGGAAGGCGACGAGTTCGGTGCGGCATCACCAAACACGGTGTTCACTTCATGGCGCAAAAAATTATGACCCCAGCACAATATAAAGGGCCTCGCCGCACCGCTCCCCGAACATGCACAACCTAGAATGTATCTCGCACTAGAACATGGTAAGATACACCTGCCATAGTTTTTGTCTTTTGTGCATGTCATGAGCCATAGTTTTTGTCTTTTGTGCATGTCATGAGCCTTCCAGCGAGGTGAAAAGTCGAGAGAGCTGCAGTGACTCTCTACTCAGGAGACGAGTTGTGGTGAGTGGTGTGGCAAGGCCCTAGTAAATAAAAAGACCAGCAAAGGACCGCCGAGAGAGAAAGTTTAAGGCGCTCCCTCTCCATCATTTTTACCGGGATGTTACAGATTCCCATTATTTACTACTTCCCTCAAGTTCCTTGTTTTATGGAAATATATACCTGATTCATCTCGAGGTAAATTTCAACCTCATCCTTGATGTCATTCACATCGTCAGCAGTGATCTCCTCATTCTCCAACAAGCGGTACACCTGTCATCCAGAAAATTTCACCTAGTGAAAACGTGGCAACGCACAGTTTGCCACATCATAATCGAACAAAAACGTAAAAAAAAATACACAAACTACAATAATGAACTTCAAGATGCTGAAGGTCAGAAAGCAAAGGTGAGTCTTTCCTTCTTTTGGCAGTTCAGGCTATGTTCACTTCTTCGATAAATGCAGAGCCCAGCCTGTGTGGCTAAATGGTACACCCATGAATAATTATTGATAAAGAGACCTGAGTTCAAACTTAGAAGTTAGAATCCTGATGGGGGATCACAAGAATGGAGTAACTCAGACTTGCGAGGGGTCGGTCAGTCCGACGATGATACCGCCATGGGTCCACCACCCTTTTGAAGATAGTGTCAAAAAAAAAAAAAAAAAAAAAAAAAAAACATGGAAGAGTGAATGGGGAGGGATGGGGATGGGGATGGGGATGGGGGGTGTGTATATTGCAGAATGTCATCCCTAGAGAAGGAAGAACCACAGTGATGGTATGCTTGGACGCTGTTAACCTGATAAAGAAAGCGACCTCTGTGCAGCCCATCTCTGTTCGGCCTAGGCTCGCCATCTACGTGATTACCCGCCGGCGATGTACAGCACAGTCTGATGTTCTGACTCTCTTGACCCCCCAAATGCTGCACACAAATCTGGAGTCCGGACTCGCCCCACCTACTTGAACCACGATGCATACACACATCCATGGTTCGAACTTCGAACCCTTTTGGCAGAAACAACAAAACACCCTGATGTACAAATTCATGGTTCAAACTCCGGGGCCAAACGCTGGACACGGGTCAAATCTGGACTCGTTCCCAAGTATCACGGGTTGCTTGACCCTCAACAGTGTGGACATTAACGTGTCGCTGGAGATACCTCGCTGGTCTTCCATGGACAATGCCACGTCAGCAAGTGTACCTCGCTCTCTCTGCCTGAGAGTGCCACGTCGGCACCTGTGCATGGCTTCTCACCAGAAGAGGACAAATAAAATGGCACTATGCCTGCCACGTCAGCAGGCAACTGCCAATACCAGAACCACACTGATGTCCACGTCAGCCATACTCACGCTAGCACTTCCTGAATGCATCTGACTGTAATTACAGCCAAACCGGAATGCATCTGCCTGCCATCATGTCCAGAGCTCAGTCAAAGGAGTCACAATGTGAGTCTGCCCTAACTGACCTCTTTTTACTTGGTTTGTTTTGTGGATAGCCAGTTGATAGCCAGCTCAAAGCCAGTGAATAGCACACTTGCTAGCCAGCTGATAGCCTGTGGATGGTCAGCCGATGGGCAGTGGATAGCCGATTCATTGCCACAGTGGATAACCACTTAATAGCCACATGATCCCAAGTTGATAGCCAGTTGATAGGCAGCAAATAGGCAGAGGATAGCTAGTAGATAGCGAGTGAATGGCATCATAGAAAGCAGATAACCAGCTGATAGCCAGTGGATAGCCAGGGGATAGCCATTTGGAGCCAGTTGATAGCCAGTTGGTACCCAGGCTGAGTATATCAGGCTGATGATAGTGAGTTTGATTAGGGAGCATATCAGGTTAATAGCCAGCCAGTTGATACTATTTGATAGCAAACCAGATATCATCGTCATAGAGTGCCTCGATAGCAGCATTACAGGCCTTTCAGAACAACACTTCCAGTGCCTCTCCAGCATTCCAGGCCTTTCAGAGCAATTGGTGGTTCTGTATCCTTTTCCACCAGTACATCCGAAAAAGCAGATTGAGCCTCCCTAAAAATTTGGAGGCCATGGACCGTCGATAAACTGAACCCGCGGTTCCTGGCCTCCTATTTTTCGCGAGAGGCTCAAATCTGCTTTTTCGGATGTACTGGTGGAAAAGGACACAGAACCACCAATTGTACAATGCAAATGCATGAATCAAATTAAACCACCAATACTTTTCCCACCTATATTGTTCTGATGCAGCTGTCAACGCGGCCCATTTTTTGGGGCGCGTCCCACCAGATCGAAAAGGCTGGTGGTGCCAGCCAAAACAATTTGATTTCGCCGCAGATTCGTTCCCATGCTAGTTTGACAAAACTCTGTGCACAGCAGAAATCAACATTGGGAAAAAAGAGGCTTGCAAAGTACTGGTGATTTAAGCACACAGAACAGACAGAGGCTACCGTCTTCACCCGAATAGAACGCCCAGTCATTATAGCTGTATTTGGTGTAACTTTCGGTCTAGATACAGCTATAATGACGGGGCGTTCTATTTGGGTGAAGACGGTAGGGAGGGATTCTCTGAAAAACAGGTCAATGACATGCTACGCCCTCGGCACTGACTCAGCAGTGTTCCTACTAAGGGTGCGATCCCACTGGCAAAAGCGATTGGAATAAGTGTCTGAATCTGGACTTGTTTGTGAAGACGTGCAGGAAAGTCTAATTGATCTGCTTTTCTGCATCTCATGCTTGCGGAGATTCCAGATTGGAAGTGCGCAGAGGGAAAAAAAAAAGAAAAAAAAAAGGGATGAGAAGTGTGGGTCTAACGGGACTCCGAGTCAACTTTCAATTATACGTTTGAAGACTGAAATTTTTGAAATTTGAAATTCAGAATCCAATACCAGTACCTGCTCAAGCTTTGCTCTATGCCATTTGTGCTGACGTCCATTAGAATACGGACCCCACATGATTCACATGAAGGAAAAAACAAAATCAGTTTAAATCACACAACAAGTCAACAACAGACGAAATCAAACGTTAGAAGCAATAAAGCATACATTAAAATTAAATAAATAGTAAATGCAGACTAGCAGACGAGGCGATATAAACTTCCTGTTCGGGATGCCTCTGAACTCGAGACACCATCCTCACTGAGCAATTGGAAGTAGAGCACACACACATACAATAAAAGTAAACATAAAAGTAAAAGTGTGTAAGAGTTTGGGAAGAACGGAGCCACTGTTTTTTTCTTTTTGTTAAACCACCAATACTTGGCCCAGCTATCAAGTCCGAGCCTCGGCCGACCGGTATGTCGAGCCTTGCCAAGGCTCGAACTGCCTCTCTCTCTCTCTCTCTCTCTCTCTCTCTCTCTCTCTCTCTCTCTCTCCATCCCTCCATCCCTCCTCCACAACTTTTGTTTCTTACGGTTCGTTTTCTTCGTATTTTTCATGTTTTCGTATTTGATTTTTTTTTTCCTTTCGTTTTTGGTTCTCTTTGTTGTTTCATGCGACGAACCCGCAGCCTGTCCTTCGAGCACCGACCGGGCCTTCCCTTGGCCGACCCCCGACGGTGGCTGCGCATTAACGGGGATGGCCCGCCGCCGATAGCTGGGCCAAGTACTGGTGGTTTAATAGATGAAGACCTTGAGATCAAGCCTACCAACCGGGCAGCCCGGGTCACCTTGTTTGACCGGGTGGCCCGGCCGTGCAAGGACCAAAGATGGTCCCAGCAAAAAAAAAAAAAAAAAAAAAATCATGTTATGCAGAGAAATAAACTGAGCAACTTTTGCCCCGGGATCGCATCGAAATTCTTTCCCAAATTTGATACTAAAAAAAAACTAAGGAAAAAAAATATTTTTTTATTTTTATTTTAGCCCGGCCGGGCAAGTGGTCCCGGGCCACTCTGGTAACCTAGCTTGAGATATCGTTATGGAACTAACCAGCCGGGTCCGGCCCCAGGTAAATCAGAAGTACTTGGTTTCATTCATGTAAGTTCCGTTTGGGTTTGCAACTTTGCACACAGGTGTGTGTATTTCACAGTTCATGGGTGTCCCAATCGAGCTAGGCTCGTTGGTCCGACATTTATTCAGATGTACCTTAATTTGTTTTCCTCTTTCTTGTTAAACCACCAGTACGTCCTAAAGTCATGCCCGTTAACAAGCCGCAATTTTAGAAAACGTACGGGCCACTACAGGAGCGCCCAAATTCATCCCACTAGAAACGTTTCTACTCTATTTTTCCCCACGGCGGATAGCTGGGCCAAGTACTGGTGGTTCAAGGGAAAAGAAAGTGTGTCAGAATTAGACATGAATGGAGGTAGTAGTAGTTTGACTAGTGTGGGTAAACGACGGTGGGAAACGCCCTGAGGAAGAAAGCCTGGCAGTCATCGAAATGCGGCGTTCGGGACACCAACCCTATGCTGTAATTCTTTCAACTCTTTGCTGTTACAATTGCTTCTACTCCGTTGAACTTTTGTGTTGTTTGACTTGTGAAATTGCTGGTACTACTCATCGTTGGTCCAACATCTTTATTCAGATGTACCTTAATTTGTTTTCCTCTTTCGTGTTAAACCACCAGTACTTCCTAAAGTTGTGCCCGTTAAACAAGGGACAATTTTAGGAAACACAAGAGCCACTACAGGAGCACCCAAATTCATCTGACTAGAAACGTTTGCGAGGATCAGGGTCCTCGGTAGGCCTATGGGGCCCTGTTTGCAGCAGTACCTGCCCTAAGTGAAGGCGGAGGTGCCCGCCCTAAGTGAAGGCGGGCCTGGGTTTTTGCAAGAGGCCCTCGACTGTCAATTTCATATTTGGGGTCCAGGCAGTTGTGACGCGCCAGTTGGTTGAAAGAAACACAGGCCGAGCAACAAAGACATTTCCACGGCCCTCCGGGCCTTTCCAAAGAATGCAGGCCCTGGGCGTGATTCGCAGCCTCATACAGAGACAGTTGGGCGCCCAACCGAACGAGGCCCAGGAGCCCAGTAGCTGCTGCACGCAGGCAGCCTCCTGGGGCCTTCCGGAAGCTTCTGGGCCCAGGCCAGCCCAGCCAGGCTGCGAGAGCTGGCCAGCTCTCGCCCATAAAGGAAAGAGCCAGGAAGCCTCATTCAGGCACTCGCATGCTAGCGGCAGCACTGCTGGAGCGAAGGCTCACGGCTGCTGGCTGGCGCTGAGAGGCGAGGTGCAGCACGTGCGGTCGTGCAGAGGAGGAGGGCGCTGCTGAGGGCAGCGCCATAGCCCAGCCACCATAGCTGGTGGGCTTGGACTACAGTGAAGCGCAGGGGTGGTCTTCGGGTGAAAGAGAGGACAGGTGTGGGTGTAGTCAGGGGATAGGTGAAGGATGATGATCATGATGATCATGATGATGATGTGAGGGCACGTACCTTGTATTGGCGATGGTCTGCATGGGCGACATCTTCAAGTACTTCAGGCTGCCGCTGATGTCAACAGTTGCATTGTCTTTTTGTAGTCTGTAGTAGCTGTGTAGGAGTAGGCTGGGCGCTGTGCGCCAAGTGGGAGTGTGAAGGAACTGGACTCTTGTGTTGGGAGGAGAGAGCATGCTCTCCATGAACATTGGTTTTCAGTGCTACGAACTTCCATTGGTGTATTATTGGTGCAATGCTGCTCTCTGGACACGGTGTCACTATTTGGCTTTCAATGTGATGGTGTGATCTGGATTTGTCATCTCGCTGTTACTTATTTTCCTTGCACGTTTCTTAGACTACTCCATTTTTTCTCCATGGCCGTCGGCGGATAGCCAGCCCAAGTACTGGTTGTTTAAGGTTAAAAAAAAAGTGTGTCAGAGTTCGACATGAACAGAGGTGCCATGAGGAATCCCCGCTGCCTTTTTTCAGATTTACATTTGTTTTGAATTCCTCCCCCCCCCCCCAAATATACATATATATATCGTCACAAACAGAACTGCCCGGTAAACCGTAGGCAGAGAGAGAGAAGAAGACAACAAACGAGGGGCTGTGACAAACTGTTTCGTCCGAGTTTCACCGACTATATATATATCGTCACAAACAGAACTGCCCGGTAAACAAACAAGGTGATTTACTTTCAAAAGGCTCTAAACATCAATCCGCTGGGATTCTCTTCACCAGTCCCCAAACATGCAAGAAAGGAATAAATCTTCCGCCGCCACCACCATTTTCGTCTTTTGTGCATGCGGTAAGTGGTGGAGCAAGGCCCTTCACGTCCATTCTCAAACTTCAAACAAGCAAAAGAAAGAGGGAATGATATAATATTTTAGACTGAGTCAGGGCGAAATTCACGGAACCACTAGTAGTGGTGCCACCTTGAACAGTGGGAGTGTGACAAGGGGCAGTGAGAACACTACTGGTCAGGCGGAAAGAGAGAACCAGTGAAGAGCGGACTTGAGGTGTATCCATTGGGTGCGTGGTGGGAAACCCGTCTTGGCAGCTCAGGATCTTTACAGTGTTTTGGGCAGTGAGATGAAGAGATTGCCCTGGTAGAGTTGAGGGAATCATTGTGGGTGAGGATTTCAACTGATATGTTTGCAGCTCTTCTGAGAAGGTTGCTGCAGTATTTTACAGCTGAGAAGAGTGAAGTAATTTAGATTGGTTCAGGTGAAATTCACAGAACTCCTAGTAGCGCTGCCACCTTCGACAGCGAGAGTGTGACAAGGGGAAGTGGGAACGCTACTGGTCGGGTGGACAGAGAGAACCGATGAAGAGCAGACTTGAGGTGTATCCATTGGGTGCATGGTGGGAAACCCGTCTCGGCAGCTCAGGCTCTTTATAGCATCTTGGACAGTGAGAGATGAGAGGATCACTCTGCTTCTAGAGCTGTTAGTAGTAGATTAGATTGGTCGTGTACCCTATATGGGAGTTCATTTCATTTTGCTAGTTCATCTTCCCCTCCTTTTCTTTTGAAGGTGGCTGTGCTTATAAGGGATGCAGGACCCGGTTTCCTCCATGGCCTAAGCTGGGTATTGGCCCCAGTATGTTATTCCGGGTTGAATTGTGAGGTCCCCGGCCTCAACTATGACTTTTGCAATATAAAAGCCATCTTTCAAAAAAAAAAAAGAAAAAAAAAAAAGAAAGAAAGAAAGAAACAGGAAAGGGGGGGGAGGGGAGAGAGGAGAGGCAGAACGCCGTAACAAGAAAATGAATCAAATCTGGACCACTGCCTCCTTTTCCTGAAGCTAATGCACCCTCAGCATGACTGCATCACACCTGAAAGATCCCTTGTATGCATTCGTGATCAGGGTGCATTGTGCTCAGGGGAAATTGTGGTCCCTCGTCATCATCAAATGTCTGATATCAATGGGTTGAATGGGCATTCTTGTTTTTCAACTAAAAAGAAAAGAATAACTTCTTTGATTGGGAAAAAAAAAAAAAAAAACGCTTGTACCTTCACAAGGGTCTTCTCCAGCTCCATCACTTGAGGCGATGCCTTTCTTCCTGCCTTTCCTGCGGCATCATGAGTTGACCAGAAGTCAGAAAGGAGTTTACCAAAAGTCAACCAGGGCCACAAGTTAACAACAGAAGAGAGCCCTCGACTAACTCATGGCCGGTGTTGGCCGCCATCCAGAGCACATATGTATCTATGCACTGTTTCCCGGAAAACGGTGCAGTGCATCTTTTTTTTGAATTTTTTCCCTGTTCGTTGGTGCAAGACTTGTGCTGCTGTCTTCCTTTTCTTCCTGCCTTTCCTGCAGCATCATGATTTACGAACATCGGGAAAGTGAACAAAGAGTTGACCGAAAGTCGATAAGTCAACACGGAGTTTACCAAAAGTCGAATAGTCAACAAGGAGTTGACCAAATGTCGAAAAGTCAACAAGAATTGACCAAAGATCAAAAAGTCAACAAGGAGTTGACCAAAAGTCGAAAAGTCAACAAGGAGTTAAGAAGTTGGAAAGTGAACAAGGAGTTGACCACAGGTTAAAAAGTCAACAAAAAATGAGATAATGCACCCTGACTCAGGCTCTACATTCACAGCAAGTACGCAGGGAAGGTGCAAACTTTAGCTTTGAACCCGCAACCTGAATACTTTTTGTTATTTTGCTGATGCCAAGAGTTGAGCCTAGGATGTCCAGGTAGGATCTCTGTAGGCCCAGTTTAGCATAGGCCCTCCAGCACCCTTTTTCTTGAACTGGGCCTATGCTGAACTGGGCCTATGCTAAACTGAACTGCCTTGAGATACATCATTGAACTGGCCGACCCCAGGTAGCTCAATGATTCTAATTGCATCAGGATTCGAACTCAGGTCTGTTTATCAACAGTTTACGAGTGCCAGGGTTACAGGGTACCATTCAGCCCAAGAGAAACGTGGCATCTGCTGAGGAGCTTCCTTCTCTGCATTTACAAAACTAGAGAGCGAACGGATTGCCGATAAAAGAAAGATCGGATGGGAGGTTGATGCTTCTCTTTGGAAAAGTCATCAAATTCGAATGCCTCTTGCCCCAGCCTCATGATGATCTGTCTCGGCAAGAGCAGTGGGTATGACCCTCCCATATCCTTGATGGGAAGAGGACTGTGTACACTGATGTGACTGATGTATTGTTGAGATAATACAAGCCTTGGGCAATTTAGGGACAATGGGCCTTCTTGTGAAAGAAAAAAAATTGAAAAGATTACCTAGGGTACCGGAGTGGCCCGAGAGGGCCGGGACCACTTGCCCGGGACCTTGTCCCACTTCTTCCGTTGAGCTAGGTCCACGTTCGACGTGCGACTGTAGGCGACGAAGGAGATGCACGCCCTGTCAATCATCCAGCGGTCCTCTCTTTTTTGAAAAGTGAATAGATATTATCACGTTTCTTATTCCAACAAAATAGTTCCAAAAATGCCATTTTCGCGAATGCTACGCCCCCTACCCTCGCCACTTTCCGTTGAGCTAGCTGTCTCCTTTTTTGGAGACAGCCAGTTCAACGACCGTTGGCATCCTTTCTGGAGTTTTTTTTTTTTTTTTTTAATGTTATTTTATTATGTTTTGAGAAATCTGTGAATTCGTTTGTTCTTTGCTATTTTCGTGCGACTTTTGAAGGACCGAAGATGCGTGAACTACGGGCAATCTGGTGCGACCTTTGAAGGATCACATATGCATCAACTACGGGAATAGGGCGAATAGGGCAACTCTTCATAGGATCGGAGCGACTCTTCGGACGTCACGTATGCCACTCCAATTGTGGGAAAAAAAAAAGAAGAATGAACTGTATCTTAGGCAGATTTTTTAATGCATTTCTGAATTTGAAATGGATTAAAAAAAAAAACAGTTTCAGCCGTCACACCGTTGAGCTAGGTCCACTAAACGGTGCATGTGGGACAAGGTCCCCGGCCAGGCCAAAAAAAAAAGAAAAGAAAAAAAAAAGGAAGAAGAATTGTTTTTAAAATTTTAATTCGTTTTCATTTTCAATTTGGTAAAGAATTTCGATGTGACCCTGAGGCAAAAGTTGTTCAGTTTATTTTTCTGCATAGCATATTCTTTTTTCGGAAATGTTTGATGTTTTTTTTTTTCTTTTTCTTGCTGGGACCTTCTATGGTCCTTGTACGGCTGTGCAGCCCAGGCAAACAAGGTGACCTGAGCGGCCCGGCTGGTAGCCTAAAATGATACACAAAGATGTGTTTTTCTTTGTTTTTGTTGGCTTTTATGAAACTTCACCCACCCTCCTCTTATCAGTTCTCCTCGGCACACCCCCAATGTCCTCAGTCCTACCTCAGTGTCTGCCACTGGGGACCATGACACTTCTACCATGTTGGTGACCTGACCGGACACGGTTGACAGTGGTTGCTGCGATCCATGTGTGAGAAACGATGAGACCGGTGAGACGCATAAATCAAAAAATGCTCCAAGACTCCAACAACAACAACAAAAGAAAACAAAAAAAACAGGAAAGCAAGGTAAAATCATACTAAAATGGTAATCAACAGAGTATACCTAGTAAACTATCAAACTCTCTCGGAGTCTCTCCCTCCCTGTGTATCTACAATTGCATCCCGGCAAAAAAAAAAAAAAAAAAAAAAAAAAGTTGCATCACGATTCGCGACTCACGTGTAATATAGATCGACCCAGAAAGAAGTCAAGCCAGCATTATCTTGACTTTGCATGTGAAGAAAATTCCAAGCAGCCTATCTGGCCCTATCATATACCTGACACGCGAATACTCTCAATGTTCGCTTCACACTCATCGATCTGCAGCTGCAACGAGTCCAGAGCCTGCAGGAAGCCCCACACAACCGCGGGGTCAATAATAGGATAGGATGAGTTCCCCCCCCTCTCTCTGTACCCCACACAAATTGAACTCAAAGTCGTGTTATTGACTCACCCACCAATAAATTGTACAAGTATTAACTGTATTATGGACTCACCCACCATAAATTGCAGTCAAGTCGTATTATTGACTCACCAGCCATGAATTGCAGCCAAGTCATCAAATTGACTCACCCACCAACTTGAAGATAAATTGTACGAAAAAATAAAGAAAAAGGAACACTGGTACAAAAAGGACACGGCTGAATGGAAAACACACGTGGCGTAAACAAGAAAAGAGGGCTTTGCCACTATTATGGTGGCACGAGATGACCACAAGAAAGTTACAAGCTATCCACCCTTTGTAGAAAAAGGACCCATATGCCAGGAAAATATATCATGATCATTAACAAGAGGAGGGAATAAGAAGTGGCAGGAGCTGAGAAAAGAG